AAAAAAAAAGAAACGAAAAAACGAAAAAACTTGGCATCACCTGAAATTGATTTTTTTTTTTTTTTGCGTCTGCTTGAAAAAAAAAAAAAAACGAAAAAGGAGAAAAGAAAAAAACATTTTCTAGCGGAGGATTCAGTCTCATTTTGCACACTCGGAGAGAAGTGCAGCAAGGCGATGCATCTTTCCATGTTCTAGCGGAGGATTCAGTCTCATTTCGCACACTCGGAGAGTAGTGCAATGACGCCCAAACACACACACACACACACACACACACACACACACACACACACACTGTATCGGTTCCATAGCTTACGCTATTATTGGTACTTGGCAACCTCCAGCACGCTTTGTATTGGTTCCATAGCTTACGCTGTTATTGAAAGCCACCTTCGGGGATAGCCCCCGGAGGTTTCACTTGGAGCCCTGGCCAAATTGGTCAGGATAACGAAGGACCATGCACTGAGTCTTGTTTGGGCAGTTCTACGGCTCACTTTGAAGAAAAAGAGGGCAGGATGACGATCGAGCTTCGATCGGCGGATCTCTGACATTGGAACTGTCGAGGAGGGTCGGCTGCAAGCCACAGGACAACTGTGCGACAGACTGTAACCGTACAGGAGTCAGACCTACAGACAGTGGTCACTTCAGTTGTTCGGACCGAAACTCGAAAAATCGTGAACTATCATGGGACTTCGTATGCTTGCACGTGTCAGTGTCGGACTTTATTTTCGCAAGATGTGTGTTTGTGCTATTATTATTGCTTGATCATTATTTCGGCCGAAGAGTTTTTAGTATTTTATTTTGATTTTATTTATTATTTTGCATTTTCGGATTCTGATAGTTGGCGGGTCTTACTTGTGCCTTTATAAGTTTTTAGGCCCACCAGTATTTGTTTTGTTTTGTTTTATTTTATTTTCAATTTTTTTGTCGATTTACAGTAAATACTGACATTTCGGTTTTGTGTCGATCCTACAGTAAGATCCGACTTTTCGGGACCTAGCCTGAATTTTAAGTATCTAGACTGGTTACCGACTATGTACTCTCGGAGCTGGTTTTAAACTATAGGATTTCGTTTTGTTGTGAGGTTTTTCGTTTTACTCTAGATTCATCGTCCCGTATGGTGTTCGGACCTCTTCCGAACGGGAACTTTCACATGATAGTCCGTAGTTACGAGTATACGAAGATACTATATATCCGATAGGAGGCAAGGCACGGGCCTCTTTTCTATAACCAAAGCGTTTCAGGCGCACCTTCCTGATGAGTCCGTAGTGGACGGACGAAACGGGTCGAGGGATCTGCTGTGTCGTTTTTGGGAACTTTGCTATGGTGGCTTTGGGAGCGAGTTGGGTGAAGTGAGAATGTTTTTTGAAGTTTTGAAGGTTGAACCCGTCTTGCGGGTTTGTTCAATGCTTTTCGAATGCATTTTTTAAGTGTGCAGCTCTTTCTCCCTGCTACTGTGGTTTTCCTGTCCAGACTGTTGCCGCAGTCTGCCTCATTGGGGATCACAGTAACCGGAGTACTATAGACTTAACGGTGGTTGTGCTAGAACTCTGATTTAGAGTACTCGTAGAGTACTCTTTCTCTAGGTTCTCTGATTTGGATCCTTAGATTAGTATCCTACGTTAGATCTTTTCGGTGTATACGACCGCCTTTTGATTTACTCCGTTACCATAGAGCGCAGATTTGACTGGTTATGGATAGGACTGAACGCTACGGTTTCGTAGAAAGAGAGTTAGTATTAATAGATCTGTTAAACATGAATAATAACGGTGGTGGAAATAATGGGAACCAAGGGAACTATGGGAATGGGGGAGGAAGACAATGTTATGAGTGTGGTAAGCCTGGCCATTTTGCTCGAGACTCTTGGTCCAAGCGGGGTCGCCCGGTTCAACAGGAGGATGATATCTACGTTTTTGTCAGGGATCTGATGAAGGAGAAGGAGGAAGAACAAAAGAAGAGAAGAGAGGAAGAACAGAAATGATTGAAGGAGGAGGAGGAGCGAAGAAGGGAGATGGATATTGTCAGGAGAACAGAGGAGATGAAGCTACAGTTACAAGTCGAGATCGCAGAGAACTGGCGTAGACAGCAAGAGGAGGCTACCGAGAAGGCGAAGGCATTTGAGAAGACGAGAGAGAGAGAGAAGACAGAGGTGGTAGTGAAGAACGTGAGTCCGAAGATCTCATCTAAGGTATCGCCCAGGATCTCGCCTAAGGACAAGATCAGTAAGAAGGGCAAGTGGAAGAAGAAGAAGGCGATGAGACATAACACGAAGAGGAGAGCGAGCAAACGGGTGGTAGACATGAGCACGTCTTCAGATTCAAACGACACCAACAGTTCCGACTCCGAAGATTCGAGCGATACGGAGGAAGAAGCTCTACAGGTGATCAGACTTCTTCGACAAGAGAAGAAGAGGACGAAGTCTAAGAAGTCGGCATCACGAGGAAGACAGGCTAGGAGAACTCAGGACACTGCCGTCGAGATAGGCGATGATTTGAGGAGAGCTCCCATCAAGACCTACGAGAGAGGGGACTGCTCCAAGAAATCGACCACACCTACGTCTCCTGAGAATGCTGGAATCAATGAACCAATGACTCCATTGGAAAGTGGTTACAAAGGCATATCGGCTGGCTTCTCTCGCGAAGGTTTTATGGACTACACCATGGCTGTAATGCAGGAGTACTCGGCGAAGAAAGTCCATCAACTCCGAGCACTGTGCGAGAAGCAGGGGATCAAGTTCACGAAGAAGGGGGATATGATAATGGAGCTGGTCAAGAGGCAAACTGAACTGGCATATGAAGGATGCTTTGATACGCCGAACAAGAAAGAAAAAACGGTCGTCGGCGAGAATCCGGAAGAAGAGAGGACAGGTGCTACTACGACGGAGACAGGGAGGACGACGATGAACACCAGGAGCAAGACTCGCGAGGCTTCCACCCCACGGGTTATACTCCGTTCGGCACCAGCGAGGAAGATGGACATCACGTTTGATTGACTGACGGCGCCCCCGTCTGCCAGCGAACTGTGGGAGACATTGAGATCCTGCATGGATGCACGGTCTACCCTCTGGGGCAGGGTGTATCCGGTGAGCGAGTTACGACGTTAGAAAGGAGGATCAGCACGACGATGATACTCCTCGGCCTTACGAGAGAAGTTAGGTGGATTAGCAAGTATTTGGATTTTATGATGATGGATGATGACACATTGGACCTCAACTCTTGTGGTACCTACATCATCACGAGTCCTTGGGCCAAGCGCGTCTACGTGGGATGTACGTCCAAATCGATAATCCAACGATGGAAGCAACACATCTATGCGGCGAAGACGGAAGGACTGGGAAAATCTCCACATCTTTATAGATGGATGAGGAGATTTGGCCTTGATAAATTCGTAATCATCCCAATCAAGCACACTGTGGAGAGGGATGATTTCGAATTTGAGAAATATGTGATTCACAATCTCTCACCCAGTTTGAATACTGTCGGGACTGGGGGACAGAGAGGTGTGAGGACCAGAAGGAGGAGAGGGAGACGCGAACGCAAGGGGCGTGGTGGTCTGACAAGAGGAACATCTACAGTGAGTTTTGAAGTTGGAGGTATCCCGCGTACATCGTTAGTGAACTGGCTGGAGGAGAACAAAGACAGTGGCAGCGAACCTGTGAAGGTGGTGTTCCATGCTCGAATGCAATGGGCTGACGGTTGGAAGGAGGTGAGCTCACGGTATGGCAAGTCGACGATCTTCATACACGAACGTACTATGGAACTCCATGAAGCTAAGAAGGTATGCCAGGAAGGAGGCGTGATGATTGTTCACAAGATCAGACGAACAGCTACAACCACGAAACGAAACAAGCTAGTGCTCCACCAACTTCTGAAGAAACCAAGAACGACAGCGACTCTAACCAGCTATTCAACGCAGAAACTAGTCGGACTTTACAGAACAACAGGCTTGTTTGCACGCAAAGAAATGAGAAACAGACTCAAGATTACACTCGACCGCTCTATTCGACGCAAGACTGGGATTAGCGTGAGGAGACGTGTTACGGTGAAGTATCCTTATTCTAACAAGATTTTGAAATCGGAAGTACGGAGGACAACCGAACAGGTGATCGAAACTAGTGTAAGAGACGATACTGTGGCCACGTATGTGAAGAAGAAAGTTAGGATTGTGAACTCAAAGAACAAGACGGTGGGAGAGGTCATTCACAGCCACAGACGGTTCGCACACACGGACGTAGTACACTGCCTGTGTTCGAAGTTTAGCTTGGAAAAGAGTGAGGGGCACGTGCTGACTAAATTCGCTCATATGCAGGAGGTACCCGTTTTTCTTCGTAATTCTCGAAATATTGTGAAGTGTGCACTTCCGGATCGGAACCGGATCGGAAGAAAACACTCGTGTCCAGCATTATCTCTGCAACTACACACCTCCACGGACCTACTTATCAGCAGTTTAACGTAGATAAGTGTTTTACGATGGTGGTTAGTAATTCTGGGACTTGGAATGACTACGAAGTGAGAGAATGGGCCTCGAAATATGATGGTCTGGTCTTCGCACCTATTGACCGTAACGTAGGTGACACGGCCTTGGTGTGTCCTGTCTTGTATAGGCATGCGTATGGGAAGATGTTCGTTTGGAACCCGGATTATCAAAGAGTGCATTGTGATGAGACGAGCGTTTTGAGTACGTGTAGGACGGCGTATGAGTATGCACGACTCGGAGATGTTGGTAAGTGGAAGACGGACGAGAAACTCGGGAAGACGTACGTGATCCCGAAAGATAAAGATTTGAACCGCTGGAGACCGATTGCTCCAGCATGCGATGATCCGGCCATGATGGGCCAACGAAGATGTGCGAGAGCTTTACATTGTCTGATTACGAGATATGCGGGACAACTCAATTTCCATCTTGGGTCTACAAATCGGCTTGCCGATCAACTCAGAGATGCTGTGGAGTCACTGAGGAAGCAGGGATGTGTGTCAGCCATAGGGCGCTGCTACGATATCAAGGAGATGTTCTCCTCGATACCCCATGATGCTGTGAGAGATGCGGTGTTTGAATTGCTACGTTTTTTTTCTGACAGAGGATGGAGACAAGTCCGGGTGGCGACACGAGGGAAGGTATATGTGATGTCCAAAGAAGGCAAAGGAGAAGTGGGCTACGTGAAGATCAGATTTGATGCCATCTTTAAAATGGTTAGTTACGATTTGGATCACACATACATGCGTTGCGGAACGACGATCTGGAGACAGGTAGTGGGAATTCCTATGGGGAAGACCACAAGCCCGGTTCTCGCTACCGTGACATGTGCCATGGCGGAGTCGAAGTTCCTTCGCTCATTGGGATCTGACAGAAAGCTGGTGCTAGGATGGAGGATGGTAGACAATGTATCGATTATTGTCGGATGCCACGAGAACGATCAATCCCAAGAAAAGGCGGCCCTTATTCTTGCTAAATTCGAGGATGAGTACGACTCGAGATTGGTATTGGAACGGAAGGACGGGGACAACAACGTATGGAGTTTTATTGGAGGACGGATGTATGTGATGTCTGATCCCCTTCAGATTCATTATACACAAGAGACGAAGAATACGAACCCTCTCCGACAACACGCAGAGCTTCAATATCAATTTATGCAGGACTTCGCTAGTTATTCCGATAAGAAGACGAAAAAGGGGGTGTTGTCGACTACGCTTAAGAGACTTTGGTACTCGACAACCTCCAGCACGCTCTGTATTGGTTCCATAGCTTACGCTGTTATTGAAAGCCACCTCCGGGGATAGCCCCCGGAGGTTGCACTTGGAGCCCTGGCCAAATTGGTCAGGATAACGAAGGACCATGCACTGAGTCTTCTTTGGGCAGTTCTACGGCTCACTTTGAAGAAAAAGAGGGCAGGATGACGATCGAGCTTCGATCGACGGATCTCTGACATTGTAACTGCCGAGGAGGGTCGGCTGCAAGCCACAGGACAACTGTGCGACAGACTGTAACCGCACAGGAGTCGGACCTACGGACAGTGGTCACTTCAGTTGTTAGGACCGAAACTCGGAAAATCGTGAACTCTCATGGGACTTCGTATGCTTGCACGTGTAAGTGTCGAACTTTATTTTCGCAAGATGTGTGTTTGTGTTATTATTATTGCTTGATCATTATTTCGACCGAAGAGTTTTTAGTATTTTATTTTGATTTTATTTATTATTTTGCGTTTTCGGATTCTGATAGTTGGCGGGTCTTACTTGTGCCTTTATAAGTTTCTAGTCCCACCAGTATTTGTTTTGTTTTGTTTTATTTTATTTTCAATTTTATTTTCGATTTATATTAAATACTGACATTTCGGTTTTGTGTCGATCCTACAGTAAGATCCGACTTTTCGGGACCTAGCCTTAATTTTAAGTATCTGGACTGGTTATCGACTATGTACTCACGGAGCTAGTTTTAAACTATAGGATTTCGTTTAGTTGTGAGGTTTTCCGCTTTACTCTAGATTCCTCGTCCCGTATGGTGTTCGGACCTCTTCCGAATGGGAACTTTCACGCGATAGTCCGTAGTTACGAGTATACGAAGATACTATATATCCGATAGGAGGCAAGGCACGGGCCTCTTTTCTACAACCAAAGCGTTTCAGGCGCACCTTCCTGATGAGTCCGTAGTGGATGGCCGAAACCGGTCGAGGGATCTGTTGTGTCGTTTTTGGGAACTTTGCTATGGTGGCCTTGGGAGCGAGTTGGGTGAAGTGAGAATGGTTTTTGAAGTTTTGAAGGTTGAACCCGTCTTGCGGGTTTGTTCAATGTTTTTCGAATGCAGTTTCTAAGTGTGCAGCTCTTTCTCCCTGCTACTTTGGTTTTCCCGTCCAGACTGTTGCCGCATTTTGCCTCCCCATGTGTCTATGTGTGTGCATGTGTGTCAGAGAGAGAGAGGGGAAAAAAGTGTGTGTGTGTGTGTGTGCGTGTGTGGGCGTTACAGAGAGAGTGCAGCCAAGAGAGTGTGTGGGTGTGCGCATGGGTGTTTGGCAGAGGGAGAGTAGAGTCAAGACTCTGCCATGGCCAGTGGGAAGAGCCGGCTACGGCACACATGTTTTGAAAAGAAAAAGAAAGGAAAAAAAAAACAGAAAAAAGAAATGATGAATTTTTCGATCGTTCTTCGTTTTTTGTCTCTCTCTCTCTCTCTCTCTCTCTCTCTCTCTCTCTCTCTCTCTCTCTCTCTCTCTCTCTCTCTCTATCTATCTATCTCTCTATCTATCTATCTATCTATCTATCTATCTATCTCTCTATCTCTCTCCCTCTCTCTCTCTTTCTCTCTCTCTCTTCGTCTCTCTCGCAGCCGCGTACTGACCTGCGAGGTACTGACTGCGCAAAGGTGGCGTCTTGATTGAGGTAAGTGACGCGTCTCTGTCTCTCTGTCTCTCTCTCTCTCACTTTCTCTCTCTTTCTCTCTCTCCTTCACTTGCCATATATACTGTGGCCGAAGGGGGAGGTTTCATGATGAGGCGCTTGAGCTTGAGCAACCTCA